GATAGGGTTCATGGGGTCACGAAGAGTTGGACATGACTTAACGACTGAACAACAACAAGCTCTTTTAGCCATGCTTTTCTTCAAGTGTTTTTTTATAAATAACAATTTATCTCTTAACTGAACAGCAGATGGCAGGCAAGTCTCACTGGTAACTTAGCTATTTCATTTCCTTTGCAAATTGCACAGAATTGCAATAAGAGAAGCTGAGGTTTTGGAACATGTATACCTGTAGGCTTTTTTAAACATCCATTCATGATAAATACTACAGCAATACTTTTCGGAAGTATAGGGCAATTTCTCGAGAATTCACAAGAGAAGTTTGTAATCAACGGCACTGTATGACAGAAACTTCCTACAACTCAGTGTGTTTTCTTATTTATACATGGAACTCAGCAGAAGAATCTGATACTATAGGATACATCAGACATTATATGACAGATTATATTAAAGGTAAAAGGTAAAATTTCTGTGAGTGGATCTTAACTCCTGGTGCCTTCATAAACAAACTCAGGTAATTTCTTGGCAACACTGCAGACGTAGTTTGCTACTGCTTTTTTTCTTGGACAGATTTGGACTTTCCAGACTAGTCAGCAGCCTTGATATGTTCCTTATGGTCTCCCATCCAAGTAGTAACCAGGCCTGAAACCTCTTAGCTTCTGAGCCTAGAGAAGGCCAGTCAGATCCTGCCAGTTCATGACATGTGTTACATTTTTAATTTTAAAATTAAAATTGTACAGGCTTCCCCCCTCCCCATACCCTACCCTAATGGCTTATTTCAGGTGTGGGCAACCTATTATCCACCTGGTATTTCAGATATCAATCTCATCAGTCCTCGATAGCACGTCTAGCACCAAAGGCTCATTAGAGTTGTACTCCAACATCCATTTGCGATGTAGAGTTGCAAATTCGCTGTGGCCATTTGGAAAGTAAGTGGCATGGTTGATTTGTAACAACTCTATGTAACAGTCTTCACTTTTTTACCTGCTCTATCAGATCTAAACAGATATGATTATATACAGTAATCAGCTGTGATATTATTATTGTATTGAACGAAATATTGGGATTATAACCTCAGCCATAGAAATGAAAGGAATTGCTTTATACTAAATCTAGTATAGGAGCCACCTAGCTTGGTGCTATCTATGCAGATAGGCATTGGCTCTTCAAGAGCTGGAGTCTTCTCCATCTCCAGGTGGTGAACTAAAAGCTGAACTAGTGGCTTTTTCTATGCAAAATATGTACTGTACCACTTAGCTAAGGATGCAGTTTTCTTTCACTCAGTTTATCTCTTCCTCATCATTATTATAAACAGTTGCTGCTTCTCTATCACTTACTTTTTATTTCTTTCTGCCATGAAGAAGGCAACAGAGGAATGAGACAGTGACAGCTATCGCTCACTAGCAGCAATATCCATTTACTTTATCAATTTGCAAAGCAAAGATTATTGCTTATTTTTCTTGGTCATCTTCCATTCTCCACTTCTCCACCTGGTATTCTTAATCCTATTTATACAAGGGATTCCCTCATGATGTAGCTATCCTAATCCTTCTTCAGTTGGTTTCTCATCATCAGCCACTTCAAACAGCAGCTTCAGTTGTCTTTCCTCACAATCCCTTCTTGGCAAAGAAGGAGAACTTAACTCTTTAGGACAATTAGCCATTACACAGGTAGATAATCAGGGAGGAGTGGTGATTATGAGAAGGAAAAGCCTTTCAATGGCTTCTTGTCATTGGCTGTATTGATAAATATTCCAGACTTGGGTGGACTAATAGATTGAACAACAGCATTTGATTTGATAATTTACCAAATTAGCATTACTTGAGGAACTTCTCCATGTTCTTGCTATGAGGAGGTAGCCAAAATAGCTTGAGCAGAATAGAGGCTGTTGACCTGATACAAGGAAAAGAAGGAATTCCCTCTTGATAATTTTCATTTCAGGGAAGAAAACAATCATACATAGTGATATGAGCAGTTCAGATGAACAGATAGCGCATTCACGGTCCCTTGGGATCCTCTCCTTCCTGGATTTTTACTCAAGCAGTAGCAGGTAAGAGAGTTAGACTGAGTCCTCTTTATGTTACAAATCCATTTCCTGATCTCGATTCCCATATAATTTGGGAATAAAACAGGAGAAATATGATTTTGCTTCTCTTCATGTCTTAAAAGTTGTTTGGGTACTTGCTTTTGATGGTAAAAGAGGGCTAGAGTTGGCTGGTAGTACTAGTAATGGAAATTAATTTGAAAATAGCAGAGTGCTATGCCATGTTTCAAGGAGCATTCCAAATCAAACTGCATTCAAGCCTAACTGATAAGAAGCTTCTTACCCCCTTCCTCCCAGCTCCTCCTCCCTCAGTGGTTTATTTTGTGGGAGTAACTGTCTTAAAACAGAAATTTCCATGCATAGAAACAATGAGGGTACAGATTGAGTTTTGGAACAACCAAATTCATCTTCTGCCATAACTGTACCTTTGTCTACTAATTGGATGTGTGATATATAGCACACACAGCCATGAGAAAGAAAGGATTAGAAGCATGGTATTAGGGGAAATGCAATATTTGTGCAGTTTGGAGCCATGATGAACATTTTTAAGCTGTTGTGGGCTTCAAAGGATAAAGCAATGATTTAAAATGGGTAAAGTTGGCCTCCTCCTCCTCCTCTTTCTTCCCTCCTCCCCCTTCTCCTTCTGTTACCTATTCTTAAAAAGAGAACTCTGTTATAAGCCTCTTTCAGGATTTATACTGCAGTTTCCATATGTTCCTAACTCAAAATTGTGGGAAACTGCACCAATTTTCAACAATTGTATTGCTGACATTCAGCCATAATAACCAGAGAGTGCTATGGGAGCCACACAAACGGGCTGGGGACTACAGTTTGCTCACTCCTGTTTTAGCATCATTTGAAATCCCGCCCCCCTCCAAGCTGCCATTTGACCAAAGGGGAGAAATATGCAGGTTCTCTATAGCTATTTGTTGACAATCAGTTTTGTCTGTGGGACACATTCAGTTAGAAACTTACCCTAATGTATATGGATAAACTTATCCATGCTATTGCATTGTGCCGATTTGACCAAAAGGGGAATCATTAAGTTTATAATGCCCCCTCCCTCTTCTGCCCATAACATAATGTGAAGCAAAAAAGAAGGGAAAAAAACCCTTTCTCAACCTGCTGAAATATCATTATTAAAATGTGCATGAAAAGTCAATTATGCCAGAGGGAGGTATTTAAGAGAAGCGAGTTTCCATACTGTGGGATTACACCTTGGGGATTACAAAGACTGCTGAATTCTTTGCAGCTGTTTAACTTAAAAGTGGAGCAGACTTGCACAAGTCAGATGTTCTATAGCCCTCACAAGATGAGAACAAATATGGTGGGAAATCATTGCTCCTTTGGCCATTGGAAGCTAACCCTTGCCATCAAATGAGGCAGCTCTACAGCAAAGGAGATATCTCCAGGGTTGGGGAACTGTCCCACCAGTATTTACTAGAGATGCCATTAATGATCTGGAACCTTACAGGATTTTAAACTCTGCACAAATGTTGGTTCTATGCTAATTTGTAGAAGATGAGAGAGAGAGAGAGAGAGAGAGTGAGAGAGAGAGAGAGATACCAGGTTTCTAGTCTTTATGAGGCCAAAAACATTGATAAATATATGAGCAACACTGGAATAAGAGAAATAAGTGTAAGAAGTCCAAGTGTAATCAGATGGGATTCATATTACACTTGGACTTCTTACACTGAGGTTGCAGTCTTATAGGTATTTACCTGGAAATGCCACTGAATGGAATGGAACTTCTCAGTAAACACCCATAAGATTCATCATCTCCTCCTCTCTCTTCCTTCTCTTATTCTCCTTGTTTTCTCTTTTTTCCCTAAAGTTCACTGTATTCTAAATCAGCCATTCCTGAGGTTTTCTTTTATGTGGGCTTCTGCACCATCACTGAAAGCTTTTGAAGAGCACCATTTAAGTCAGCATTTGCCTGCATTGTGCCTGAAGGTACTATGGTGTACTTGTCCCTGTTTGTCTTGCAGATGCCAACATTATTATTTTTAATTAAAATGTTCAAAATCTCACAAATTTTATAAGATTTTTGTGCCCCTGCCAAAAATCTTGCAAAACTGTGAAAAGGATGTAGAATGTTCTCGTTTTCTCTCGCTCGCTCGCTTTCTCTCTCTCTCTCTCACACACACACACTTCCTCTTTCTCTTCCTCCTCATACAACAGGGTGATAAAGAAGGATTTGACAAGAGTTTTTGAAATTAGACTAGATCTACCATTGTACCATACTTAGCCTTTGTTTTCCAGAATCACCATGAGAAAACCCAAGAACTGTCTGGGAGACAGAAACGCTACCTGCACAATGATAACATGAGCTTCACATATTTCACTAGAATGTGGCTTGTTTTCAACCATAGTTTGTTCAACAAGCCATAGTGGCCTGGTTCTTACATAACCAAGAGCTGTAATTCTTGTTTTGTTTTATAAGGGTGGGTATTTTCCCCCTAAATTTAGTTAATCTCCTTTTGGTGAAGCCATTAAGCTTTGAGGTTTATTTTGGTCACATTTTCACCTTAAACATTGGAATTGTCATTTCATACACAAAAAAATAAAATGGGTGCAGAAATACATGCTGTTTTTCTCTTTCTAGAGTTCTAAAATCTCCTCATCCAACTTTCACCAATATCAAATTAAATTAAAATGAGTTAGATGAAAGAGAAAAGCTATTTTTTCCTTGGTTTTTTTTTTTTTGGTTTGGTTTTAAAGAACACCACCCAAACTTGTGTTCCTTCTTAATTGAAACTTATCTAACATCTGGATAATTGCTTCTAAGTACCTGTTGATTGCCAAACTGTAGCCAAGGTGTGTCAGACTTTCATAAATCTCCAGCACTTAAGATCTTGTTCTTTGATGCTATTCATCACATCCAGGTCCAAAGGCAAGTGGGGTGGGGTGTGTGGGTGGGAGTAGAACTGAGCGCTCTGCCTTCACTTAATCCAGCAGAATGCATTGCGCTCTTTATGAACGGGAAGGGAGGCTGTGCAGGAGTCTACAAAAAGGTCACTGATATTTTTGGAGTGATAAATCACAAAAGAGAAGGAAGATTTGCATTTTGGCTGTATAACATTCAGGGATGGATTAGAGAGAGAAGGGGAAGAATTCTTTGAAGTAATATTTCTCTGCTGACTTGTTTTATTAGCTCACTTTTAACATGTTACATTATTGCTTATAGAATTTCATTTACTTGGATTGGCAGTTTGATAAATATGTCTATTGGCAATGATTTGGATTGCTCTGGGCATTAATATTATTAAAACCTGTCACAGGGAAATGTCTGAAAGATGACTTACTGTAAAGATTACAGCACAAAATAAATCACACAGTGGTATTTGTTACCGTTTATGGCCTCTTGGAGCCGAGTCAATCCCTTTTTATGTTGCATTATTTTTCAAGTTTTTATAGCTTTACATTATATATCGCTGTCAGAAATGAACAGATGGGGTGTCAAACATGAGCTTTCTGAATAATTCCCACCCTTGGGTTATTTGTGTGAAGGACAAGTGTAAAACTCTGTTCTCCAGAAAAGGAAGACAGGCAGGGTTAGTTAATGTGTTGTGACATTAAAGAAAGCCCCCCCCACACACACACACACACGTACAGACACTTTTTTTTGTCAGTTTACACAAGGTGGCTTTAACTTCTGACCTCACCTGGTTTTTATCTCACAATGGGGCTTGGGGAAATTCTAGTGCCTGTATTCCTGTGGTGGAAAACCCATGCAAGATGAATAGACTAGAAGGAAGGTAGCCTTTGGAATGTCAGAAATATTCTTTGTGGACTGTTTCTCCCCAGATGAGTCAGGAAAATGTGTCTCCCACATCATGAAGGCCTTTCACAGGACAATTCCATAAGAGTGAAGACATGATTGTTTCCTTTCATGAATGCCTGTAGGAATGTGATTACAAGGAAGGTAGCCTTTGGAATGTCAGAAATATTCTTTGTGGACTGTTTCTCCCCAGATGAGTCAGGAAAATGTGTCTCCCACATCATGAAGGCCTTTCACAGGACAATTCCATAAGAGTGAAGACATGATTGTTTCCTTTCATGAATGCCTGTAGGAATGTGATTACGTGTGCCTTTTCTTCAACCATTTGTGGGTTTGGGGCTACTTTACCGAGAAATGGATCTGTGAGGGAAAGGAAATTACTTTGATTTTATAAGCAAAAAAGCAAATTAGTAGTGGTCACAAATCTTATTATTTGTGCTGTACCTTGAACCTTGTGAAATTGACATGTGAAGTATGAAGTCAATCCTTCTCTCAGTGCTGCATGATGTTTACAGCATGTGGTAATATAGAATTGATTCAGTGCCTGCCCAAAATGGGACTATAGAATCCACTTCCACTTTGATTCTCTTTAGACCACTGAATCATTTTCCCATCTTTTAAAATGTAGCAACATGAAAAGCCTTCACATTTCTTTCTGGGCTATATCCTGAAACAGGATAGGCAAACCAGAAGCCACATATGGTCTCCAAATTGCTGTTTTGGAACCTCAAGAGCTCCCACTAAGGATGCCTTTGAAATTCAGGCCTATAATTTATCCCTTCTCACCCCTATGGGTAGTATGTGTTTTCCTCAGTCTTGGGTCCTCTACCAGAGGCCTGGGAGTTTGAGGGTTCTGCACAGTATCTGAGCCATTTCCAGCACTGCACTCTTCTGGACAGAGATCTCTGATGTTGTTCCTGGGATCTGTTGGAGCCATTCCCATCTCCCAGCTTAGGAGTCACAGCCCCGAGTGCTCCTACCGCCACTGGGACCACTTTGGTCTTTACTTTCAACATCCTGTCTAGTTCCTCCTTCAGGCCCTGGTACTTCTCCAGCTTCTTACACTCCTTCTTCCTGATGTTGCTGTCACTTGGCACTGCTACCTCTATCACCACTGCTGCCTTCTGGTCCTTGTCTACTACCACAGTGTCTGGTAGATTGGCCAGTACCTGCTTGTCTGTTTGGATCTGGAAGTCCCACAGGATCTTAGCCCTGTTATTCTCCA